TGCAGACAAAACAAATGCGTACGGACTCAAGAATGTGCCGCGTCTTGTGCCTCATCACAGGACCTCAGGCCTCCTCTTTCAGGGCAGTTTTCCTTGTCGTCTTCCAAAGAGGGCTCTCTTAAGTTGTGTGTGTGTATATATATATATATATATATATGTGTATATGTATATTGCCACAGCAGAACATTCTGGCTCTCACTTATTGTTCTGCCCTCGGCCCGCATCTCTGCTGCTTGGTGAGCTGCTGCCTTGTAGAGCGAACTCAGTCCCGTTGTCCCGTGGCAGGAGAATGGGACGCAGGAAGCCAAGAAAAACTGTCAAAGGAAATGCGCTGGCGTCCTGTTGTTGGGCCCGTCGTAGCCACGCGAAAGGGTGTCGACCCACTAAAAGCGCAGAGAGGAAACCCTCCAAAAAGAGCGAGTTCAGCTCTCCGTCATTCCACATCAACAGGCTGCGGAAAAGCCAATGTGATTACTTGCTTGATATTGTGCACAATTATCTGGTTGCTCGGCCATGTTTGAGACTTTACATCCCAGTTTTGGACAACAGGGCTTAACACTGGTCAGTTTTAAGTTTAAAATTATAAAATGGCCATTTTCAGTCACCTAATATTATTATATGTCAGCCACAATGCACGTGTGTGTGTGTGTGTGTGTGTGTTTCACGTGCTCTGCAGTGTAATCTGTCCCACTTCACACATTTCCTCTTTGTTTCATTCACCTGGTTCTTTGTCTCACATTTAGCCAAACTCTTCACCACACAGACCCGTGTGGATGCGTGTAAACACACCAACTAATGCAACAAATATATAAAATATAAAAAATGTACTTTCGGGGGCCAGTATTGCTTTTCACTGTCCGTATTCGTTGTATTTTTTAAGGTAAGGGCAGGCATAGGCCAAGAATGGGTAGTCAATGGCAACCGGGCATCCTTGACCTGTACCGGCAAGCCCTGGCCATCACGTAAAATAATCTCCGTGTAGGCTTAGCGCCCGCAAGGCCGGCAGTCACTTTCGCTTTTGGGACATAATGGATTTACACTACAGGGATGTCGTGGGAGGAAATTGTTATCAGTGTTACTGATTAAAGCATCTTCAGATAAGCTGACAGCGCTCCGGTCTCATTATCCTTTCTACGACACTGCAGACCAATAACTGAAAGAGCGAACGGTGATGAAGGCAAACTGAGCCGTGTGTTTACAACTACAGTTCAGGACGCGATGACACATCACAGAAGGGTTCACCGTGTTATCAGGAAACTCCCTTTCACCTACGCTGACGCGCTTGTTATTCTTCCATGTATTTCAATAATATTTGAAAGCCATCGCAGTCCTGAGACTGTCACGCAGTGTCTGGAGGGCGACCTTGAACCCTGTAACTCATCGCCATAACTCCAGTGTGCCGCGGAAAATACGCGCAGCTGTAACCAGATTGTGGTTCTCATCATCTCTGACTGACTTCTTCATCATCATCAAGACACCAGAAGTTTGTTTGGCTGCTTGCTAGGCAGAAACACAAGTTGCTCCTCCACGGGTACCACAGTATTTGATCCCACGTTAAACCCTGCTTGCCGTTACCGTAGCAACCGGTGTTGGCAAAAGCTCAACCAGGATGGAAATCTCAATGATTACAAGTGTTTTTTTTGTTTTGTTAATGGAGGATTCTTGATATAAAAGCCATCTCCGGTCCTTGTGTCGGTACTGTGTTGCAAGCATTAGTCACTACTTTTCATCGTCATTGTGCCGGTTTTCTTCCCCCGTGGTATACACGCCAGGTTCCACCAGCTTTTGGCTCAAAACGAGCGCCTCCCAGATCCCGGCCTGACTCCTGACTCATCTTTCTTCGACTTCAGATAGAGATTTTCACAGAATGACTTTCAGCAGTGGCAGCCTGACGGTGTTCATGACGGTCTTTATTCTGCCGCTTTTTTTCTTTCACGTGTAGGCGAAAGCCTGAGCAGCAGAGGCAGACGTAGTAAGAACACAGGGTGGGAGCATTCCCAGTCGAGGCGGAGTGAGAGTTTTACCCCGTTAATGGAGTTGAAGCATCATTTGTTGTCGGTCTATAGTCCATCGAGGCTCCCGTGGGTGGAAAAACTGCTGTACTTTCCTTACTTGCACAGTTCCCCAAATAAGTCTCTTTACAAAGAACCCCTTGCAGTGCTAATGTGTGGGACGGCTGCCAAAACGGGAACTGAAAATTTAAGCCTTTTAGCTGTACCGGAAATTGTGTGCGGTAATATGTTGCATCATCTATTTTCAGGCCATTTTCTGCAGGAGTCTGTAAAATCTGCCACCAAATAAAATGCATACAGAGCTGCATTGGCGTCTGTTTGTAATCTGTTGGCGGCGGCCCTCATTAGGACGCCGGGTGGACGGCGCTTAAGTATGAGGCTTGAGAGTATGACTCATTCAAAGTATGTGTTTACTCAATCCGTAGAAAATAAAAGAAATTCCCCAGTGCCTGAAGGAGGTGAACATGTAATTGTGAGCACACAAAAAAGGTCCGACCTGGATGTTCGGATGACGTTCACTCCCTTTTTTTTTGGTCTAAAACGGCTTGACAGTCGCCGCTTGTTCGAGGGACACTCTCCCCAGCGCGAGGGCATGCCGCAATTTACACATTCCTGAAATCCGAAATCCTGCAGAGTGTCAGACCATCAGCGGAATCTGTGCAGCGCTCATCGCATAACAGCGTCTCTCTTTGCTAACCCTCGCAGTCTGGACAGAACGGACCCCACGAGGGCGTTGCATCGTCTTCCCACAGCGATCCCCGTCTCGTCCACAACGCGACCCGTATCGGCCGGAGACGAGCCTAAAAGGATTCCATTGTTGACGGACTGTCTGGCGCGTACACTGGCCTCCCCTCAACCCCAAATGCACACGCAGTCTACCTGGGAAACCGGCCCCCGCCCCTTGAACACCCAGCTGAAATAGCATATGTATATTTCCCCCACCCTTTGGCGGCGGGGTGGAAAAAGGGAAGACCCCCCCCCCCCCCCCCCCACGAGTCAGATTACACCAAAATGTCAGATATCAAAGGGAGCAGTTCAACAAGTGGAGCCTGCAGTCAACGTCCTGCATGTCTGAGACAGATTAGTGTCTTTGGGAAGGGCCGGTTTAAATTCTGCATTGCGCTGCCCCCCCCCCTGGGAAACCAGTCCGAGAGGGAACCAACGAGGGGCTGACGCCGATCCGAGTCGTGATTACTGGTTGAGCGCATTTAAACCAAACTGGCATTGCATCTCTAGGTCAACTCTGTCTCAGCCTGGATCGTCTCCTGACCATTGGATGCCGCTGTGCGATCTACAGGAGAGTTAGAACTCCTACACGGGCAGATGCCCTCTCCAGGTGGGGGAGGGGGGGGGGGGGGGGTGGATCGCAACGGAACGCGAAACGAGATACAACGATTCAAGCACCGGAATGTATTTACAAACTTGCTCTGGAATGAGAATCGGCTGTAGGGCCTTATCGTCGCCATGACAACAGCGTAATCAGCGGGCGTGCTTCTCAAATCGCAGTGCTGTGGATCGGTACGCGGCCACGCCAAGGTCAGGCGGCCCCCACGAAAGGACTGAAACACACCGAGAGCGGGGGGGGCGGTGCTTTGTGAGGGTTTCACAGCGCACACAAAGACCCAGTCCCATACCCCCCTAGTCGGGGTAAAGTGCACGCCCAGAGAAACGTATATATACGCCTTTCTACTTACGTTCATGCACGTATGTATTTTGGACCGGTACTCCCTCTGGACTGGAATAGCACACAGAGTCCTGGGCATCATTACTTCATTCCCGCTCACCCTTAAGTACACTCATCTCCGATTCCCCCCAGAGAGCGAGCTGGTCACAGGAATGTGTTACTGCTTCGTACTCTTGTTTTGAACAAATCTGCAGCAGCAGCAGCAGCAGCAGCAGCACAGTAGTGACTTGATGCATTTATATCCCCCCCGATGGGGCAAGCGCTTGCCGAGGGGAGTGAAGAAATGATAATAAAATCACTGACATCGCCGGCGTGTCACTCAAATTCCTTGCGGAACAACATTCCCCTTCCATAAATGTGTATGCGTGTGGGAATGAGAGTTTCGCCAAGTAGCTCCTCCGATATGGCTGGAAGGTTGAAATAAGAGAGAGATCACGATGACAGGTATCTATAAAGACAAGGTTTTATAACAATGGCCGGCCTGTGAACTCACATTGAACCAGCTTTTCTCCAAATATTCACCTCTGACATCTAGACGGATTGACTTTACAGGACGGGGGTGATAATGCAGCGTTCTTAGCTGAAAATGAGTAAATACAAACATGTCGGCTTCCTTAGAGGAGAAAAAGAACGAACGGGACCGAGAGGAGAACATAGTGTACACGTATAGGACAGACATGCACGTGTGCACACACACACACACACACACACACACACACGCACACACACAGGAAAGGACTGCAGGAGAGCTCTGTTTAGTAGGCTGGTCCCGTAGCTTCGCCTGTAATCTGACTGTAGCCCAAGGGAGACCCGCTTCTTAAAAATGGAGATAGTAGAACACAGTGTGACCTTTTTCAAAGTTGGAGTCGGAGACATCCGCTTAGAGAATGTTATGCGTGGAGTTCAGAAGCAAACTGTGCAGCTGCCCCCCCCCCACCCCGGTGTGCAACTATAGCACCATGTCAGACTGTGAACGACAATTACAGGAACTTTCATCAGTGTGGGCAGCAATCACAGCCAGCAGTGACACACACACACACACACACACTTACTGGTGTCATTCTGAAGCAGCTACCTGCAGCCAGCGCCATGTCATCTATTCACTCCCAAACGGGTCATTAAGGTTTGCACAATAATATTATTAACAATAATAATAGACCCCAAAGATAAAATGCAGGTGTAAAAAAAAAATGGCAAAAATGGGGGGAAAAATTGTATAATTGTGACAGAACGTGGACTGGAAGAAGCCCCCCTCCGCCCCCCCGTGATGAGGTTAACAGCGGACAGCAGCGCGAGACCCTTACCTGGCTTTGTGGGATAACGTCGCCTCGATGGTGAAACCTCAGGAATAGTCAAAATTTTGGGGAGATGATCTCCTGAATTGGAATCAGCGAAGAGGCGACCGACCAGTCAGACGGAGGAAGAGGAGGAGGAAGAGGAGGAGGTGATGCTCCTGTTCATTGCGCGTCCCTCCGCCGTCAGGGTGGAAACATTTGACCCGCTACCGTCGCACCCACGGCGCGCGTGAGAACAGGGGCACGCGCCGCCGCCGCCGCCGCTCTCCGGATCCGTTTGGTTTGACAGCGGGGATCGTTCAGCACTCCGGCGGGCACGGCGGTTCTGGAGGATCTCGGATTACCGGAGAGTGCGCAAACGTGCAGCCGCTGCCGTTAACGCAAACGAGGGGTGGAGGTGTTGTCGCAAACGAGAAGAGAGAAGACCGCGGGCGGCGTGTTTACCCCTCCGTGGTCGCTCAGGGATCAGCTGCTCCGTGCTGGAGGGACGCCATTTGTTCGCGAGAGGTTTCCCGTCTGCTGCCGCTTTAAGGGGAGCTCAGCGCCGCCCGTCCGTTTCATCACCGAGAGCGCCTCCTGCTGGCGGGAAACCGCCGGTGGCTTTTTTCATTTTTTTTTGTTCCAAGTCAAATCGTTTCCCTCTGGTGGTACAAAGCCACACACCAATTTTAGTTTGCACACTTTATTTATATATGGTCAAATATTATTCTGGATGTTAAGAACATGGAAGGGCAATATTTGGGCAGGGCATCATTTTTAGTGGATCATTCTTCTCAAGTCATTGGTATCCACTATATTTGGATCGCTTTATTTGTTTTTTTCGTTAAACTACTCATAAAAATCAGCTAATGAAACAGTGCAGGTAAGAAATGGAAATATATACAAATTTTCATAATTGGATTTGTTTAAAATCCCTTTTATTTGTCAGACATGACACCTGTTCGACTGGTTTTCCTGGAACTCTACATGAGTGGTTCTTGCTACACCTCAGTAGGTTCAAATGCCAAGTTAGACAGATTTTTGACAAAAATGTATGAAGCTACCACACACCAAATAAAATGAAATCTTTTTTATAATGATTTTAATTCTAAATATGTTTATTAAGTCATATTTGCAAACCAAAGTGTCCACAATGCAAACATATAATACTATGCATGTATAAAAAACTATATCATTTGAAAACAACTTTTGGACTTTGGACTCCAACGGTGAGTTAAGTAACACATATAGTACACTATACACATTATCTGTGTAGTCACAGCAAACACAATTTTCACCACTCCATCTTCATGTCGGCTTTGCTCCACACATATTTCCCTCCTCTTTTCAGAAACATTTTTTCATCAAAGCCACTAAAGCAAATGGCTTCCTTCACGCCGACATCGAGGATGGACTTGGACGGGTCCTTCCGTCCCTCTCGACAGTCCAGGAAACGCATCTGAAAAATGAAGGAAGAGTTAATTAGCTACGTGTTAAAAAAATGTGCATTAAATGTGGTTATTAAGTTATTACACCGTTAAAGGCCAAACAATGTGATTCGTCCATAAACAATATAACGTGTACTTACATATTCATCCAGGATCAGGTAGGAATTCCTCATCTGTGAAAACAAAGAGTTACGTGAGTCAACGGGCCTGACATGTGGGGACCGACAATGTCACACTACTTACCCGCTAAAGACACCCCCACATAAAAATGTCCAACAGAAAGGTAATAATGGATGTCCACCAATGATAATGGCCGACATTTGACTCGGACTCTGGTTGTATAACACTCTACATTTACACACACACAACCCCCTTCTTGTTGCACTGTGTAAACCGATGTGCACGTTGTCGTTGGTAGATTTGGATGACCGCAAATAGCCAGAAGCAGTTTTATTTTTTCAAAAGGCGGAGTCAGAGTGATGGATCAGGGCAGGACGCGTTATTGTTGTTATACAGCCATGTAAACTGCTGATTGCATGCACTGACTTGGGTTTCTGTTTGTGCAAGCAAACAAATAAAAATACACATGTGCACCACTGATAACAATCTCATCTCGTACCTTCTCGTTGGACTCGGGAACGAGGCAGGGGACGCCGATGTGTCTTTCCAGAAACTCCTGGAACATCTGCTCGCTGATGACGAACCTCTCTGCCTCTCTCAGGGCTTTCTCCCCGGCGTTTTCCCCATCGATCAGCAGACACTGGAACACCTGAGCAAAGGTCGCATGGATACAGAGAGGCTGAGTGTGTGTGCCCGAGGTGTCACACGCAACACACACACACACACACACACACACACACACACTCTCTGTTCCCTATTCACCTTCCAGCGGACCGGGTTGAGCTGGAGGATGTTCTCCGCCATGTCCTCGTCCACGTTGAAGGTGTTAATGACCGAGTTGATTTTGAACGCCACTCTGTACTGCTGGCACCAGCTACAAATCTTGTGGAGGTTGTCGATGTGGCTTTTCCTCCCCTGAGCTCTGCCAATCAGCTGGTTGGTCGCTTCATCAAAACTGTCGCAGGAGATGGCCAGGATGTCCAGATCGTCACCTGATGAGAGCGAGGAGAATGTTCAGTCACACACATCGCGTCTTCTTAGAATATTCTCAAGTTTGCAATATGATAAAAGAAAGTTCATCATTTGTCCAAAGAAGTGATATTGGAGTCTTACCATATTTCTGGAACCATTTTTCTTTAATCATGCTCCCGTTACTGACAATGCTGACACTCGGGAGCCGGAGGTCCTGTTTGCAGTACTGAACCAACTTCCCCAGAAAGTCTCCTTTGTCGTGCAGGAAAGGCTCCCCTCCAGAGAAGTTGATCTTCTCCATGCCTAACGAACACAGCCATGAGTTTTATTGCATGCTCATTACAGAAGTTTGCCACAAAAGGACACAATATCCATATGTGTCCGAATTACCTGATTCCTTCAGGAGTTTGAGGCCCCTCTTGGCTTCATCCAGAGGGAGTACGAACGACGTCTTTGCAGTGTGGAAGCAAAATCCACATTTGTAATTACACTGACGCGTGAAATGATAGTTGACGCTCGTCGGAGTCGTCATCTCATTTTGCGCTCTCCCTTCGTCCACTTTCCTCTCAACGGGTGTGACGGACAGCGCCGTCCCCGCACCCGCACCGGTCCTCCCGTAGCCCACTTTGGAAAAGAAGCTCGCGAACGCCACGCGCAGCGCGTCGGCGAGGAGCTGCATCAGCAGCCGCATCTGAGACGCGATCGCAGCGGAGAGGCGCATCTTCTGAGCGGCAGCGGGTGCGTCGCGGAGGCGGACAATCCCTTAAATACAAGACCGCAGGGCGAGCCTCATGAAGGAAACTCACATCAGCTGAGTTTCTGTTTACAAAAAAAAGGGAAAACGAAACAAGTGGGCGGAGGGGTGTGGAGTGAGTGACGCGCAGGGCTAAAATGGGACGATGCAGGTTGCAATGTTTAGTTACTGCGGCAATAAAGGTGTGTCCAAACGTTTGACAGCTACCGTGACATAAGTGACATGTTGTAGCAATGCCAACAGAAAGGTAATAATGTATTCCTATACAAGAAGGATTTATGTTTTGGTTAGGCCTTATTCCATTTGACTCTGTGGTTGTATAACACTCTAATCGTCTGCTTTATTCAGATAAAACATAAAAAACACTTTCAATTTTATGTTCATGTCATTCCCCAACATAATTGATGACAGTGCGTTTCTGTATAGATCAACTGCATTTTTCACACGAACATGTACAATGTGGGGTCGTCGTGGCGCAGGGGGTAGAGCGGGTGCGCCGGGAGCCGCAAGGTTGGTGGTTCGAGTCCTGGCTGCCCCATGTCTCAAGTCGAAGTGTCCCTGAGCAAGACACCTAACCCCTAATTGCTTCTCAGGCAAAATGTGAAAAAGCCATGGGTTTAAAAGTGTAATGTAAGTCGCTTTGGATAAAAGCGTCAGCTAAATGACCTGTAATGTAATGTAATGTAATGTAATGTAATGTAAATGTAATGTGTCAGGGCCCCTCTCTTAAACACCCGGTGGGCAGACGGGTCACACCACCTGCGGCATTTTCTTCTCGTGTCTCGCGCTTCTCCAGAAACACAAGCAGGTGAAACGTCAACGCACGCGCCACTGGTCAGAATGTTCAGTTTCGTTTTCCCCACGTGGAGCGCGGTAACTTTCGTTTCCCACACACACACACAGACACCGGGGTGGGGTAACGCCTCGTCGCGCTCCGGTCGGGTCGGTGTCGGACCGGATTCGAAACCGACCAGCAGCAGCAGCAGCAGCAGCTCGCATCCCGGCGACAAAAACAACAAACAAAAACATGGCCCGGCGCACCGTGTCCCTCGTCCCTCGCTGGTGCTCTCGGGTCTTCTCCGTGGAGCTGGACGGCGCAGCCGTCTACTTTGCGCCCCGGGAGAAGCACCGCGGGGAAGACGCGCCGCGGCTGTTCGGAGACGCGCGCGGGGGCCACGCGAGGCTTTACTCGCTCATCGTCTGCGGCGGCGACAGAATCACACGGGCCAAGTTCCACGGGGAGCTGAGAGACAAACTGTTGCGAGAGTTGCCGCCGGGGTGCGATGTGTCTCCCATGTCCTCGTTCGTGCCAGATGTCAGGGATTCGCTCTTAAAGGGCTACTTCTTAAAAGACAACTCGCAGGGCTCGTCCACGACGGAGGGGCTTTTGAGGGACATGTCGCAACGGGACCCGGTGTCCGTGTGTTCGTACTTGAAGTGTGTGGAGGGTCAAGTGTGGACTCAGCGCCTGTGGTCTCCTCCGGGCAGCCCGGAAATGTCCAAGGACTTCTACGTGGTCCCCTCGGACGCGCCAGAATGTCACCCATCGACGCTCAACATCATCAACTCTGACGTCTTCTACAGTTTCGAGGAGGCCCATGACGTTATAAAGCAGGTTGTTTTACAGACTGATTAAAATGTGTCCTGCCTGTCCTGCAGAGATAAAACAAAAAAAACAAGTAGACATATCGATTGTGGGACATGGCAAAGTGGCGCCCTCTCGTGTTAGAAGAAGGTATAGGAGCCCAAAGAGGCTCATAATGCTTTCATTTATCTAGCGGTGCCAAGCGTGTGTGCGCCTGTGTGTGTGTGTGTGTGTGTGTGTGTGTGATCATGCGCACCACAATCTACGACTCCCTCCTGCCTCATCTCACGGCAGCAAACGGATTTTTGTCTGCTCTGCAGTGCGGTGACATCATCCCAGAGGCCGCGTCCGTGCTGGAGCTGCTGCGCAGCAGAGTGGAGGCCAGAAGTAAACCAGACTTCCCTGTTATTGTCGTAGAGGGCCTGGATGCCACAGGTTAATGCCATTACCTCATGAATAAATATTGGATCAGTGTGATGTATAGATGTCTCGCTATGACGGCCAGTTGTTCTCTGCTGAAGCCATTATCTACCAGTGAGCTCTGCCTAATGGAATATCATGTATCATGACCTCAGTACTGTGAAAATGGTTTATTGAAGAGCTGGCTCATCTAATACCCTTTGCAAACCTCATAAAACCACAACCATGTTCTGTAGGTAGGATGGGAGTTTCAACTTAACTAAAGAGACACTTGGCTTGTTTTCTAAAAAAGTAAAAAAGTCTTTGTGTTTGTTCTCTGTTGATTCCTTCTTCGTCCTTCTCCCCATCGCAGGGAAAACTACTCTGACCGAGTCCCTGAGGGACGCTCTTGGGGCCACTCTGTTACGGTCCCCTCCCCAGTGCCTGTCCCCCGCGAGGGCCCGCTTTGATCGGGAGCCGCCTCTCATCCGCAGGGCCTTCTATGCTCTGGGGAACTACATCACAGCCGAGCAGATAGGCCAGGAGGGCATGAAGAAACCCGTCATTGTCGACAGGTAAGGACAGGCGAGACGTCGCGCGGGGGGGTTGTGGCGTGACCTGTTTGGAGACCGAGACGACAATAGATGCCGTCTGGAGTTCAATGTTAAAACACAGACGCCACCTGCTGAGTCACCTGATCATCCACCAATTCATCGTCCACCTCTCAATTCGCCATCTATTATCCGTCCCCAGATTCTGGCACAGCACAGCGGCGTATGCCATCGCCACAGCGGTGAGCGGCCAAGCGTGCAACCTTCCAGCCGAGGGTTCGGAGATTTACCGCTGGCCCGGTGACCTGCTCCAGCCGAGCCTCGTGGTCCTGCTCACCCTGGACCCCGAGGAGAGGAAGACGAGACTGAGGAACAGAGGTCAAGGAAAGACAGAAGAGGAGGAAAAGCTGGACCAAAATCAGCTCTTTAGAATCAAGTGAGATATTAGAATGGCACATAACACATGTGGAGGGTATATACACGTTCAATTTATGTAATTTTTGGACAAAATTTCAGTCAAAACGTTCCAAAAATCTATGGTGATGTATGTTCAAGGAAAAGAATAGATAGATAGATAGAATAGATATATTCAATTTACAGTCATACAAAACAAAAGGAACAAAAGCTCAGTCTTAAAACCAAGACCACATTTTTATTTGTCTTATTTAATTTAATGGACTCAATTCATTTTCACAAATACTGGGACTACTTTTCTAAAGCAGACAGAGGAAACAGGAGAAGAAATAATTTATATAAATTAACTTTAGCTTCTAAAGATTTCTTAAGTTGGCACAATATTCCTACCAGTGTTACCGTCAGAAATTGCCTTGTTAAATAAAATTTCCCTGAAACAGTTACTTCATCAAAGATCACCTGTTTTTCAAAGATATCAAGCTTTAAGAATTGACTAAACTATAAAAGAACTGCAAGCCCAACTCATTGGATCCAATGACACATTTTCAGAATTCAATAAAACCACCATTGTCGGTGTCTTCGAGATTGCATTTCACACACACACACCATAAATATGACCGAAGAAAATAAATACACAGTGGACACACTTAGCGGCGTGACAAGCGTGAACAAACGCTCTGCAGTCTGGGTGGAAGAAAAGTTCTCTGTGGGGTGTTAAAACATGAAACCACAGATGGGCTACAAATTGTACTGCACGTTCCACTGAGTCAGGTCAGCTCAGTCTGGAGCCTGATCCATCAAACACTTAACAATCAATTGCCGTCCCGTGGGGGAAGCAGCTGATGAGAAAGAACAGGTGATTAGTTGCTGAGCTGTTGTGCTCCATTAAGCTGGTCAAAACTCGCGAGGCACTGCCTTGCCCAGATAGTCGCTTTGGCAGACAGGTCGATGGCTACTTTCATCCATCCTCTATCCTGACATAATGGCCTTTCCACACGGGACAGCCAGATGTTGGGCCAGCAGAATTAGAAAATGGTGAGAGTTGACTGCCCGCCGCCGAGAGAGTTGAGAGATTCTGCCGACTCGGTCAATCATTATCGCGAGGCTATTATTCATTTGTCGTGAGGAAATGGCTGCGCTCTGAGCCATCTGTGTTGTTTCTCATACCGAGTGCCACCACACTCCTCACTCTTCACAATGACTGAGAGCAGTCAAAATACACATTATTCAGCGTAATGTAAAGTGTCATTTGCTGTGTTTATATCCTTATTCTCTTCACTTGTTGACCGAGGTGTTTGTGTGTGTCTGCAGAGTGGAGAAGGCTTACCAGAGGATCAGTGGCCCAGCGTTTGTCACTGTGGATGCTAGTCCTTCTGCAGACCAAGTGCTCCAGCAAGTGCTACGTTTAATTAGGGCCAAATGCCACTTGTAAACAGTTTTCCAGCTCCCCTTGCTGTCAGCCAAGCATCAAGTGGGCGCAGTACCTCCCTTAACCACTGGGTGCCAGTAAAGTGTTGTGAATGCACTTGCAGGAGGAATCGTGGCCAGACTGGAGTGTGGAGAAGAGATTTATTTTCAGAATGAGTAAAGGTTGAATGGCTAGGGGCCAGGACTGCATGCTACGATCAGAAATACATATTCATACATGCATACACAGATATTGACACACACATATTGTAAAGAAGTGTGCAATTGCAGTTTCTGCCGTTGTGACCTCTCAGAAATGAGTGTTGGTACACTTATTGACTAACACTTGTATTTAGACCGACATGGAGGAGATGGATGGTAACGTTTATATAAGCGCCAGTGTGTTAGACGTCATCAAAGCTCACAAACCAATCTCAAATGTATAGTTGGGTATGTACATGTAAGGTATTTTAAATAAAAGAAAATGAAACTTCAGTGTGTTTGGGGTCTCTTTTTTTAGTTAGCATGACTTAATAATCAATTACGAGAAATGTGCGAACTTTGTGTGCACACGATTTTTTACAAATCCATTTTGCAGTGAGCTGCATATGGAAATTCCAGGCAGTTCAACTCTGCGATATTGACACATCTGATGCCACTCGCGTTGATAACCTGTGTGGCTCACAATGGAGCTGCAGAGTAGATTGAGAACATACGTCGCAGGTTTTTTTTACTTCATGTCCTCGCGGTCGCAGGCACTCACTCAAGTGTGCACACATAAACGTACATTTGCTCTCCTACTTGAGTAAACAGACACACACACACAAGCCTGCACATTTACTAAGAGCATATACTGCAACTCATAAATGTATAGGGAGGAAGTGTATGCTGGCCTATGTGATGGGAAGATTAATTGGAGGTTTTAGTAATTATGAGCTTGGCAAAGCTTCGGGCAGGAGAAGACAGAGTGACCCATCTCTTTTACTGTGATGCATCAGCAGAGCGCCAACCACTGCAGACCCTATTCATATGGCAATTAATGGAGCGCTGTATATCAATGTCATTCCAGCGCTCCCCCCACATAAGTGCATGGATTACTCCTACTACCAATTACGGCAATCCAATGTTTTACTGAGTTAAGAGGTGCTGCGGATGCAAATCAAAGCGT